AATGGCTAACTGTAAAACAGTATGAATGGAGGTTGTGGTAGTCTAGGTGCAGTTAAAAATTCTCCTACAGCAAAAAAAAAAACTAAACAAAAAAAAACAGCAAGTGGGTCAGTGAAGTGGAGTGAAGTGGCACTCTTTTTGCCTTGATCCATTAAGTTATTCAAAATTACATTAAACATGCAATCATACAAAGAAAAGCTTGCACATATCTCTTCTGTGATGAACATGTTTTAAATTTCTGATTTAAAAGTCACACAGATTTTTTTTTTTAATATGGAGCATTAAGTCAAAAATGTCTGTTGTGTGATTTTCCAGAAATTAAACAAAAAAAATCTCAATAAAAAGCTTGAAAAACAAATAAAAAAAAATGCTAGCATAGGTCGTTTTTTATTATTATTTCTTTAAAACAAAGAGTCAATTAAGTTTGTTTTAAAATATGATTCGCATTTAAAAAAAAATACAAATACATCATGTCTTCAAGGTACAAGTAAAGTTACACCACTTGACAGTTTTTGATAAATTAAATCTACATTTTGTAGATAAATGTATAAATGTTTCCAAAACATTTATGTACCCAACAGGAACAGAGTGAATTCAGGTCAATTTGACGACTTCTTGACACTGGGATGGTCCTTTTTTTTTTTTTTTTTACCTGAATTCATCTTTCAAAATTCACGTGAACAGTATTTCCTGATAAAACATTGAAGAGAACAGCGGTCCACAGCCTTACCAGATTTACCGTGTTGCTTTACTGCCATCTAGCAGAAATACTGCACCGTGCAAAGGAGCTGTTTGAAAACAGGGCCCATTTTTTTTAATATTTTCCATTACAAATGACAGACTACCACAATCTACCTGCCATTTTGAACTATATTTTAATTAAATAATAATTATTATTATTATTAGTAGTAGTATAAGACACTAAATCACTAGCCTATATCGTTATTCTATTTTAAGATGTGATTAAAAAGCCGAATAACTATTGTCCAAAATATCATAAAAAATAATTTTATGATGATTTACCTTTATTTACATTTAAAGTGCACATTAAAAACACAGTAGATGTATAGAATGCAAATGTATTAGCGCAGCTATCAGAGTGGATGTGCGTTTACCAGTGACACAAGCACTGGGCAATTTCACCTTACAGGTAACACAGAGTAAAGCGCATAACAAAAAATAAATAAATAAAATAAAACAATTTATAGCTAACAGTTGAATAGATCCAAGTAAAATACAGACATAAATAGGTAATTTTAAAGAGAACACAACATGGGGGTGTCCAGGGTTGATCAGTGCATGGATGCCCCTAAATGGAGGTCTGGGCTCTTATGTCAGTGCATAAGCAAAGACCATGACTGTGCTGAACTTTACAAGAGAGCTGCCTGCATGCTTCACTGTGCTAATTAGTCACATTTTCATTGTTTCTAATTCTTGCAATTTAGAAAATCCACAGAAAATGTAAATCTCTTGTATTCTTCTTGATTATGTTGTACATCGTGTCATCATAGCGACAGGAATGTGTTTTTTAATTCACGTGAACAGTATTTCCTGATAAAACATTGAAGAGAACAGCGGTCCACAGCCTTACCAGATTTACCGTGTTGCTTTACTGCCATCTAGCAGAAATACTGCACCGTGCAAAGGAGCTGTTTGAAAACAGGGCCCATTTTTTAAATATTTTCCATTACAAATGACAGACTACCACAATCTACCTGCCATTTTGAAATATATTTTAATTAAATAATAATTATTATTAGTAGTAGTAGTAGTATAAGACACTAAATCACTAGCCTATATCGTTATTCTATTTTAAGATGTGATTAAAAAGCCGAATAACTATTGTCCAAAATATCATAAAAAATAATTTTATGATGATTTACCTTTATTTACATTTAAAGTGCACATTAAAAACACAGTAGATGTATAGAATGCAAATGTATTAGCGCAGCTATCAGAGTGGATGTGCGTTTACCAGTGACACAAGCACTGGGCAATTTCACCTTACAGGTAACACAGAGTAAAGCGCATAACAAAAAATAAATAAATAAAATAAAACAATTTATAGCTAACAGTTGAATAGATCCAAGTAAAATACAGACATAAATAGGTAATTTTAAAGAGAACACAACATGGGGGTGTCCAGGGTTGATCAGTGCATGGATGCCCCTAAATGGAGGTCTGGGCTCTTATGTCAGTGCATAAGCAAAGACCATGACTGTGCTGAACTTTACAAGAGAGCTGCCTGTGCGAATTAGTCACATTTTCATTGTTTCTAATTCTTGCAATTTAGAAAATCCACAGAAAATGTAAATCTCTTGTAAAGGTAATACAGTTGATTATTTTTAATGCCATAGCATGTTACTTGCTCATTCTCTTTATTGACCAGAGCCTACTGTTACCATTAGATGGACATTAAATGATTCAAGTCCCTGAACAGCTGGAAACAGTGTTGTTTGGTGTAATGAATTACTCTAATGAGGTAATGTGTTCCCCGATTAAATAACTCAATATTACAATCCAGTAATAGTAGGGGAGACAATATAACACTTTTTGACTTTCTCACTTTGTGTAAATCCACATGGGGTTCAGAATATATTTTTTTATCCACAGTAATTTTACACTTGTTTAGTACAAATGTCGCTTTGTTTGATAATTACAGTGATAATTACGTTTTTCTTTATTTACCCTCAAAAAATGGAAGTGAAATGTGACAACATGCCCCGTAGGTGGGGTACATTGTAACATCTGAGGGGCACGTTGTAACATGACCATATGACAGCTGAAAATGTTATCTGATCAAATTAAAAAAATATACAAGCCAAACTAAAATATTTTGTTGTTAAAATAAAATAATATGTATTTATTATTTTTTTCAAATAAAATTATGGCGTTTGTTAAGAATTAAAAATTATCTGATTTTGGAGTTTGACAATGAACACATTGAAACCATGCTTGGGACGGCCCATATAAACGAGCAAAAATGCTTTACATGTCTTGAAATAATAATTTCTGAACATTAAACATTGACTGTCAGTCTTAATTCACCTGTTTCTCGTTAAAATTCATTAAAGTAAATAGTGTCAATTACATCGCTAATGTCATAGAATAGCACACTGTAACGCAGTGTTACAACGTGCCCCATCTGCGCAACTGGAATTTAAAACTGGTTAGTGTCTTCTTGTAGTTATCAAAGCATTAAAAAAAAAAAACACTATCTAAACTGATAAATAACAGGTTGGGGATTAAAATAATAGCAGATTTGTCTAATTTTAAATTAATAATAAAAACTGAGATGAAAATTGTACTTAAGCCAGAATTAAAATTTTACTATGGTAAAATAAATGTTCAGCGATATCTTCAAAAGATTTTTGAATTTTGGCGCACTTCTTTCTCTATATTATGTTGATATGGTAACTAATAAATACTGTAAATGTTGTTATGATAGCATGTGTGGAAATATTCAAACCACGTGTGTTACAACTAACCCTGCGTTACTTTGTGCCCTGCTCTCCCCTACTACAACAATATTTACAATATAAAAAAGGAAATAAAGAAAATAATATGAAAACATAAGTGATTAAACTGATGAAAAATTCAGTCTCTGATCTTTCAGATCAGACTGGGTTCCTCCAGAGTCTGTGTTAAATGAAGAGAAGCTCAGCTTTTTATGTGCATGTCAAGCAGTTCTACTATTTGTATTAATCACACATTTTCTGATCAAGACTGTATGTGCTAGTCATACCTTATTACTTCAACGGAGGGGCATGATGGGAGGCATTTGGCTATCACTGTGGCTTCTGCTGTAGTTACATTATTGGCTTCCAGGCTGCAATCATTAGTTTTAATGGCATCAGCCTTTTGTAACTGCACTAATAGCTAAACCTTCACAGCAAGCACTCAAGTACTACTCAAGTCTTTTCAGATTCGTACATAGGGATAAAATCTCAGCCAGTGTCCATGCCAGGCTGTCACCACATCCATTCCATGACAAGCTGATGAAGACATTAAATCATAAACTAATGACAGCTTTGCAAACACACACAAACACAGGGACCGGGACAATGCAATGTCTGGGTCCATGCATTCATCAGTCCAGCTACAGCATTAAAAGAAGTCTAAAATGTCTTGATGTCCTCTATGGATGAACAGTGTTTGAGGGATGAGGCCACACCAACCAGATCTGAACTCCCAATCGAAGTCAAACTGAGAGACAAGTAGTAACACTGGTTTACAGTATGTTTTCTAAATAAGTCTCTTATGCTCACTAAGGCTGCATTTATTTAAACAAAAATACAATAAAGCATTAATATTGTGAAATATCATTACAATTTAAAATAGCTGTTTTCCATTTTAATATATTTTCAAATGCAATTTATTCCTGTGATAGCAAAGCTGAATTTTCAGCAGCCATTAATCTTCAGTGTCACATTATCCTTCAGAAATCATTCTAACATGCTGATTTGGTGTTTAAGAAACATTTCTTATTATCAATGTTGAAAACAGTTCTGTTGCTTTTTTTTTTTTTTGGAAACCTTAATATATAATTTTCAAGATTCTTTGATGAATAGAAATTTCACAATAACATATGAATGTTTTTACTGTCATTTTTATGCTATCAAGTTAATGCATCCTTGCTGAATAAAAGTATGATCTCATCTTTAAAAATTAAAAAAAAAAAACATACTGACCCCAAACTTTTGAACGGTAGTGCATGTGATGTAACAAATCCATACATTACACTTCATACAGTATATGTGGTTCTGTAATGTATTTAGTGTCTTACTGTAGTATTTTTAGTGCCTTCATGCTCATCAGACCTTCACAAAGAGCCAAGGATCCATGTGGGCCAAACTGATTCTCTGACAAACTAAATAAAAACTAAAACTATTTTATTCCCTGTCAGTGACATCTTTTCAAAGCAATAGTTTCATCTAAAATTAATTCTGTAATAATTCACTGTGAAGACCATAATACTGTACATAGGACTTACTTGAGTTCTGAAAGTTGGGGCAGTAACGGAAGGACTTGAGCTAGTTTAGCAGCACATGCCTGACCAAGCCGGTTTTTGGACAGCCTGTGAATACATAATGATGAAGAATGGTCAGCTACTGATTTTGCAAGTAACATAACATAAAATAAATGATTTACTGTAGTTTCTGAAGAACTCTGCAGTGGGATAGTGCCACCAGTTGCTTCTCTCCAGCCTGGTCAGTCACATTGTTGTCTGACAGACTGCAAAAATGTTAATCAAGGAAAATGAATAATGATGCAATGATTCAGATGATGTTACTGCAGTAACAAATCTAGACAATGACACTACCGTGCACACGTATGGGGTCAGTATGTCTTTCTAATGTTTTTGAAAGAACTCTCCTACGCTCACCAAGGCTGCATTCATTTGATCAAAAATTCAGTAAAAACAGTGATATTGTAAAATATTATTACAATTTAAAATAACTGTCCTCTATGGTAATATATTAACGTGTAATTTATTTCTGTGATGACAGCTTCCACATTTCTTACAAAAAAAAAATTCATACTGACCCCAAACTATTTTGTATATATTAAATAAACATTGACAACTTGGCATAATATATTTCCACCATATCTCCACTAGAGGGTGGTCTATCATAAGCCTTATAAATTGTGCTCAAGCACTATTCAGGTAAGGAATACATGTATTCTCATGCTCAATGCAGTTGCCATACCTTAGTTTTACTAGTTCAGTCCACGAATTCATGTATTTCACAAGCTCATAAGTACCACCATCTCCCATTCGCCAACTTTCCAACCTGTAAACAGCATAAAAATGTTCACATATTTCCAAACCCTTAGCATGTGTGTGCAGGTGCTTTTTAATGACCACAATACTTACTCAATCTCTTCCATCAGTCTAAAAACCTTAAAAGAGGTCAGAAGACAAAGTATGCCAGTGCCATTCACAAACGTCTCTGATGTCACCACTCTAATGTTGTTCAAGCTGAGGAGAATAACCAATCAAAGTAAAAATTAAATACAGGATGGGCTCTCGGGTGAGTACACCAGCTTATTGAGTGTTTGCGAAATCTACAATGAACATTTCAGGGTGTAAAAGCCTTACCTGAGCCTTCTAAGTGAGGCCAAATGGCTGAAGCCTTGAGCTAGGATGGTTATACCCTCCTCATCAAGTACCACAGAGTCCAGTCTATCATTGAGAATTGATCATTGATAGTATTGAATATAGCATATTCTGTCAATGACTGTGAATGCATTACAAACTAGCCACATTTCTTAAATTCAAGAGTGCAGTGTATGAAAAGCTGAGACTACAACACATGTTACCGTATCTCTGCCAGCAAGATGCACCTGCACCAGACCTCTGACCAGGTCACGCCCTCGAGCTGCTGTCCAACCAGAGCACTGGTACAGACTGGACAAAAAGATATCGGCCAATCAGCAATGTTGCACTCTGCTGCACTGAGAAATAATGAAGAAAATCAGACACTTACTTGATCGACTTTAGATTTGGCACACTTTGAAGTGCTCTCCCAAGTACTGTAGCTCCACGGTCACCTAAAACAAGCTGGGACAAACTGGAAAACCAAAGGCAAAGGGAAATGCTGAAACATATGGGAAGGAAAAGGTAAATAAGCTGACAGAATGAAATTACACATAATTATTCCCGGTAAGGACCACTTTTTCAGTGCAAAGTTAAACTTCACTTGGACTAAAGGATCATGAGAAAGAGTTTGGTAATGCTTCAGCAAGCTTTTCCAACACATCCTCATCGGCACCTTTTCAAATCAAGACCAAAAAAGTAAAAATATTCCATGTAAAAAAAAAAAATTCCATGTTTTTCTCAAAAGTTAGTGTACTTGTTTACTAGTGTCAGTGAAGCACTTGAGGGGAAAAAAAACATGAAACACATAATGAAGAAAATAAAGAGAATATCACTTGTGAGCAGACTTTTTAATCATACTTAATTTCCTATTAAGCTTTATTTTTGTCAAATTATGCAAATAGTATGAAAAAAAGATCTGTGTGTATTTAAGATCCATAGATGCTATGGAATCAGCCCCAGCAACAAAAACAGTTGGACATTTTATCACAAAAATGTAAAAAATTTAATTCTTACCACTGCTATTTCTATCACAGTATGCTATTAAACACAATATATTATTTGATATTTGAGCAAAATTACACAAATGTCCTGTGATGTATGTATGTTTACTGTTAGACATTATGTAAAAAGCATGTTTTAAAGGGGTCATATGATGCGATTTCAAGTTTTCCTTTCTCTTTGGAGTAGGGATGGGCGATACCACTTATTTTGTTTTCGATACGATACCGATATTTTTCAAGGCAGTATCGTCGATACCGATACGATACTTCTGAATTAAACTTTAAATGATGAAATGTATTAAATTATTAAATTACTAAGAGTAAAATGGGTAATGATAACCACTTAACTTTGTTTAAAATGCATTTTAACATTCAATACGCCTTAATTGTAACTTATTAGGTTATATTTTCAAAGAGATGATCTTTATAAAAGTTAAGACTGGTCCACGCCCTCCTAAACCACCTCGTTCAAACATGCCCCCACATGTCTACGTCACGGTGTGGGAAAATTTGCATAACAAATTCTGGGAGAGTAGACTACAATGCCGGCTGTTCTGACTCACAGTCTGTATACGTTTTTTATATTTAAAGAATTTGCCACTGACGATTCAAATGTGAGTTTTGAGCAGTGTAGAGTAGCACTTGTTGTTTGTCATTTCTCCAATCACAAATGCAGACATGATTTTGTTTACGTGGCACGATGCAACGCAGTGCGTAAAAAGACAGTACAAGTCGTTATAATCCGTAATTATGTCCCCACTGAATGCAACAAATGCCTCGTTTATAATGGGTTTTAATGTTTTTGTCTAGTCGCTCCAGCCGGACGGGGCATCACAGTATGGTAAGGGGAATAACATTTCCATCACACGCTTGAGGTATTCGGCCAATCACAACGCACTGGATAGCTGGCCAATCAGAGCACACCTCACTTTTCAGACCGATAAGCTTTATAAAAATCGCTGCGTTTCAGAAAGGCGGGGCATAGAGGAGAGAAACAATAATGTACAGTATGTGGAAAATAATGTGTTTTTTTAACCTTAAACCGCATAAAGACATTTCATTACACCAAATACACCAAATAATGTTATTTTTAGCAACATCATATGACCCCTTTAAAAGAAACACTCGTACATTTAAAATAAAGATGATTATCTGCTCTTAATTATGAAACACTTACGTATAGTTCCTGAGATTCCGTAAGAACAGAATGACCGCAGAAAAAAAATCTCCACCATTTCGAGCTGAGAATCTGGACATAAAATGAAGTAAGCAGAATTCATACAGAAAAATAAAACATCTAATAGACCAAAATAAGCATAAACTCTCATTGACATGGACCTTAAATCCTGCAAGGCGTGGCATTTCTGAAAGGGAAGTGTCAGAGGAGCGAGATGCTGTCCATTTATGTCACAGTCATCAAAGCTAAAGAATGTGACAAAAGTGGTGTTGTACATCAAATACAGAGAATATCACATAAAAATAAGAGTCAATAAAAGCATAAAACCAACAACAAGCTTACAATCAAACAAAATACCAACACACTTGATGGACTTCAGGGCAGGTGAAAACTTTTCAGGATCTCTGTAAGAAAGAAAAAGGTCCAAATTAGCTTTGCATATGTAATATTGTAAACTATTTATTCACAATATATATAGCATTCCATATTCTATGAGCATAAAAAATATATAGAAACTTACACAAAAGTGGAGCTGAGACATGAATTGCCCTCTGTAATGATGTTTATGGATGCATGGTTGACCCTGCAAATATTGGGTAAACGATGTTTTTTCATTTCTAGAGCAATATTTTTTTACTTACATGTGTCTATTTGCAAATGGTCTTAATTTAATCTTAAAGGGATAGTTCACCTAAAAATGAAAATTCTGTCATTAATTACTCACCCTCATGTCGTTCCAAACCCGCAAGACCTTCATTCATCTTCGGAACACAAATTGAGATATTTTTGATGAAATCTGAGAGCTTTCTTACCCTGCATAGACAGCAATGCAACTAAACATTCCCATGCAGGCCCTGAAAGGTTGTAAGGGCATCATTAAAATAGTCCATGCACCATCAGTGGTTCAGCAATAATTTTATGACACTATGAGAATTCTTTTTGTAAAGAAAACAAAAATAACGACTTTATTCAACAGTTCTTCTCTTCCGTGTCAGCGTCCGCCGCCATACACGAGAGTACCACGACGCTCAGATTTCACCAAAAATATCTTAATTGGTGTTCCAAAGATGAACGAAGGTCTTATGGGTTTAGAACGACATGAGGGTGAGTAATTAATGGCAGAATTTTCATTTTTGGGTGAGCTATCCTTTTAAGATTAAATTAGGACCATTTGCAAATGGACACACTTAAATTAAAATCTGACGTGCCATTGAACATGAATGTGTGAGTTGGGATGAAATGAGAGTAACATCGCCACATGGAAAACCATTCGGTATACAACCACAACCTACCCACAATTAAATAAAGAGACACATTTTGGTTAATTCAAGTGACTTTAAAGAACAGGTAAGATGTTAATGCTATTAATATCACTTTGTCTCTGTCATAACATTTGAAAACATTTACTGTTTTATAAACCTGTTAATACACAGCCATGAATTCATCAATGGTCACAAGATGTGTGTCTGTTGATTGTGGGTTACTGCCTCAGAACCGCACCTGATTTCTTTGATGTGTGGCTGCAGATTGAGGCATTTGGTAATGAGACCGTAAACAGCATTTCCTGTCAGCCACGGCTCTTCAATCCTAATAAAGACATTCCAAACACATTAGTATCCTCATATTGTAAGTGCTATATAAATGCAGCAACTAAACACAGAAAAAATGCCATGATTACATCTGTCCTTTGTTGTTTCTTCAACTTAAGGGAGTTAGCACCTTAAGATTTTTGGAAAATAAACTCATTAAAACATGTTTCCCACATTCACAAGTTTGTATACTAACAACGGTGTATAAACATGTCTTACAGGAGAATTGTCATTTTCCCCCACATATCCACCTCAGTGTAATTTCCAACAAATCTCATATCATCTTTTTTGTTTAACATTTTGTGGTGGAATAAATGGAATATGTATTCCTACGGCTAATTTAATAGCTAGTATATATATATATATGGTACACTTTTTACCAAATTTACCAGACCTTGATTTTTGCTTTATATTCTATATGTCTTATATTTCATATCACTGTTGTCTCAGACATGGCTGTTTCTTTGCTAAAATCTGTTAGTCATGATGAAAATGATGCATGAGGGACAGTCATAATTTGTGTAAAACTGATGTAAATCAATTCACATAATAAATACTGAAATGTTTATTACACACTTTGTTTAGGTTATCATTTTATTAGTTATATTATTTTTTGAAAATATTTATATTTTTACAGTGAAATTTTTCTATTTTTAAACTGATAGTCTAGGTCTGAGACAAGGGTACAAAACAAAAATCTATAAAGAAATACATAACATTTCTAAAATGCCAGAAGTTGAAGAAATCATCTTAAATAAACAGATGTTTTGTTCATTTCTTACCTGAAGTCTCTGTGTTGGTGACAGCTAACTAAGTGCTCAACAAAATACTCAATCTGCTCCGAACTCAGACCATTATTTCTTAATATCCAAGGAATAGGAAAATGTGCATTAAAAATGTGCCAAATATGGCGTTTAAAAAATGTCCAAGAAATGCATGAGCACTGTTGAAACAGATACTATGTCTGTGAGATCAATCTTTAAAAATAAATAATCTTTGTAAAATCTTACTTCACAGTTTGGATGGTGGACAGCTCAACCAGGCTGTCCAGTAAAGAGAAAAGGCCTTGACTGTGCAGTGAATTAGAAGACAATCTAAAGAATAAAGTAACAATTACATTTTTTTACATAGTCATGAAACCTCAACCCACATTTTAAGATGTTAACAGATATGTACAGTTTGCACATCCCTGAAAACAATGACAGTACTCATTATCTCTATTAATAAGGAGATAAATCTAGAAGATATTGCAGTTTTCTGAGAGGAAAAATAAAGAATATCGAGTTTCAATAGTTAAGAAATGTCCAAAATACACACATAGTAACATAACTATGCTCAAATACTCACTCTAATGTAAGTAGTCTAGGGCATCTGTTCAAAATTTCCACAAGCTTCTTCTAGTGTATCACCTCAAAACTGCACTCCCTTAGCCTGTCGTCAAGACCAACTGTAAGAGGAAGCTAACCACCAAACTACTTTCACTTTTGACTTGAGTGAATAAATCATATTATTCGTGTGACTCTCTGATTGTTTGTTTCGACTGTGATACCTCACATGTATTCAGGGAAATTACCTAGGAGTTTTGCCATTGACATGTTCCTGCACAAACTTAATCAGAGACTGATCTTCCACTCCAAGACTAAAGATGAGAAAAGCATTAACCTTCAGACTTAAACAGTCAAACAAGTAAACACACATGTAATACGTAAGCCAATCATTGTTCATGTCAGTGAAAAACAAGGAATGAATGGAAGTGATAGTGAGTTAGCCTTTACCTGACTTCAACAGCAATAACTTTCTTACAGGCCTTCATTGAGTCAACCAGATGCAGTGCCCCCACTTGAGTCATTCAGTTGCCACTGAGGCTGTGAAGGAGTGCAATAAGTAAACTTTACCATTTGAATTAATCCATAATATCAATTATAATCAAACTCTACATCTGTCACTGATAGGGGTGGAACGGTTCAAGTTACTCACGGTTCTGTATGTGCTATGTTTAGAGAAAAAAGGGACTATATTGTCAAATAAAAATAAAGAAAATAACAAACAATCTAATTACAAGCAACAGAACAAATAAGACAACCCAAGCAAGCAAAGCTACAAATAAAATAAACAGTGCTTTTCAGGGTTTTTAGGAAGGTCTAACCGTTTTTAGGTACAGAAATTGAATAAAGTAATCAAATGTAAAATAGCATTGCATATTTGACAGTATAAATTAAAGATTAGTCCTTATTAACGTTACAAAAGCTATTCAATCAAGAGCAGTGAGTCATTTCCTTGTCTTTTGTTGTTTGATTAACATTAAGAAAGTGCTGTCACTTTAAGACAATGCACTGATACTGTACTTTCAACTGACTGACTATGTCTGCTAGGATACTCACCAAGACAGGCATTTTGACATCATTTTTGTGTGAATTTGTCCTTTCAAGCTCGACTTGAAAAGGAACTCAATATTTGCACGCTTTCTGAGACACGGGTTTGTTTGGCGCTTCGGATGCGCGCTCACAAAACGGGCGGTAAAGTTAGTTTGATGTTTGACATTCATTAAAGGGGGGTACAATGGGTTTCATGCATTCAGAGTTGTTTACACTGTTAAAGAGTCAGATTCTAATGCTAAGCATGAACAAAATTTCAAAAAACAACGTATGACGGAGTATTTCTTTGCTAAAAAACTTACTTTCGGGTTCGTACAAGTTTCGGAGAGTTTTTTTTCGATCGTGGGTCTTCATGACGTAGACGAGGGTGGAACTCCTTATATGGGCATTTCTCCCGGAAAAGCGCGCCTGCGCACGCATCGACCAGAGTAAGAGTGAGATCGCACCCATCAAGGCCCTTCATCCGGCGGAGGTGCTGCACGGGACTCGCCCGGGAAGAATGTCTCCAAAGAAGTGTGTTTTTGGTTGTAAGGGAAAGATAACTTTGTTCAGCTTCCTAAAGAACCCAGCTTAAACAGTTTGTTACAGTTTTGTTACAGTTTGTTTTTCCGGGGCAGCAACGGAGTTTCGCAAGTGTGTTTGTTGACGAACGTTTTATAAACAAGGCCCAGTTCGACGCTGGATTTGCACATCGTTTGATACTGAAAAATGGAGCGGTCGAGCTATAAAAGATCCCGGTCATGTCATGACGTAGACGAGGGTGGAACTCCTTATATGGGCATTTCTCCCGGAAAAGTGCGCCTGCGCACGCATCGACCAGAGTAAGAGTGAGATCGCACCCATCAAGGCCCTTCATCCGGCGGAGGTGCTGCACGGGACTGTTTGTTGACGAACGTTTTATAAACAAGGCCCAGTTCGACGCTGGATTTGCACATCGTTTGATACTGAAAAATGTTAAACAGTTTGTTACAGTTTTGTTACAGTTTGTTTTTCCGGGGCAGCAACGGAGTTTCGCAAGTGTGTTTGTTGACGAACGTTTTATAAACAAGGCCCAGTTCGACGCTGGATTTGCACATCGTTTGATACTGAAAAATGGAGCGGTCGAGCTATAAAAGATCCCGGTCATGATTCAGAACTGCAGACGGTAAGTGAAACTCATAGACTGCAAAAAGGGGAAACTGCATCAAATGTCTGTTTTGTTGGCAGCCGGAGCTCAAGTGCTCGTCAATCTTTAGCTCCGCCCACGGCGCGCCTCCAGGAGCTCGGCTTTTTCCGGCGAGAATCGTAAAGCTGCATCTTTCTTTTATAAATATGATAAAACTAAAGACTTTTTGGAGATATAAAGGATGCAGTACTACTCTATAGGTACTCAAGATTAACATGAGATTGGGTGAAACTGTGTGTGTTATCTCCCCTTTAAACATTCGGTTTCATACCAATTAAACTCTTTGCAGCGGTTATGTTTTGAGCCTATACTAAATCAGATAGACATACATATGCCTTTTTACATTGCACAAGGCTTAATTTCTAAAAAAAAAATAAACCATATAAACAATTTAACTACATAACATTATACTATAAAACCAACACTAAAATGTTCAGAAAAACTTCCCTGTTATTGCACAAGGCTCCGTTTTTGGAATTAGCACTTTGTGTTTAATAATAATTGTAAAGCTTTTAATGTATACAATAATGTAAATCCATTAAACGACAACACCATTTTGATCTAAAGTAGGGCTGCACGATAAATCGCATGCGATATGTAACGCGCATCTTATCAGTAAGAGTTGCGCAAAACCACGTTCATATTCGCGCGATTTTTTGCGCAGCTCGTCAGTGAACAACGGCTCTGTGTAGTTAATGCTGCTCAATGTGAAAGCCCGCAGGTGATGGAGATTTGAGATAAAAAAATGTAACTTTCGTAATATAAATGGCTCCAACACATCTAATTATTTAATACCGTGAGTTCTGTTCCAGAGATATTGAGAATAAATCGTCCATTATGGTGTGCAGCGACCATTAGCGGGTCTAGAAGCCCATCAGAAGTTCAGCATGCGCTTCTCAGTCAGTTGGGACGGGTTAAACACAGAGGTGTTGATGTCTGATTTTGTATTATTGTAAATAACCAAACCCTGTTCATCGGATAAACAACAGTAACCACATCAAAGGATTTGAAAAATGGATTTGCATTTGGTTGAATGCGGTTTTTAAATACAATATCGGTGTAATCAGGGGGAAGAGGTCACAGAGATATCCACACCAATGTCACCATCACTAAGAAACAGATTACATTAGTACATACCAGAAACAGGTATAACACAACCAGAAAACTGCATGTGGCTGTGGAATATGAGAGCTCTGCATTTTACCTGCTTGCTCCTGTGTGAAGTCTGCTAGAATGTTAGCCACATTGTTTATTTCCTTACAGATCTGTTAGAGAAAGGAAACCCAGTCATTTTATTAAATGGCAGGAAAGTCTACTAATGATCTAATGTTCTGTTTATTTGAAAAATAAGAGCAGTATCATCTAGAACAACATGCTAGACACACTCACCTGTGATTTTACTACTAACTTCACTGTGAAGGTCACAATATCTGTTCTTTTCAGCCAGCACAGTCAAGGTGAAAGTCATTTAAATGCTCTTGCAAATGAGCAGCACGTACAGATGGAAAATGTGACAATTGATCTAGATCTAGATATAAATCAAAATATACTTTGTAAAAAGGTTGATTGAAGCGTTGTGAACACTTCTATTGTATCTCAGTAATATGAAATGTTAAACTCACTCTCTGTCTCCTTGCTGGAGCAGCTTCAGTTTGTGAAATGTGAGGCAACCGTCTGATACAGGGGCGGCGTTTCTGTATGGCAGAGTATCCCTGTTGAAAAAAACAGCATATGCTGGTTAGGTATGTTTTGATGCCGGTTTGAGCTGGTCCTTTGCTGGTTTATGCTGGTCGAACCAGCAAAGGACCAGCGTAAACCAGCAAAGGACCAGCATAAACCAGCATCAAAACATACCTAACCAGCATATGCTGTTTTTTTCAACAGGGATGGCAGTTGCCATACCCTAGCCCAGTCAGCTGTGCCATGAAAAATGATCCAAACTTAATATCTCTATTATATTTCGTTATTATTATTATTATTTTAAATCAGAGCGTTTTTACAAATATTTAACCAATAATAAAACTTCATAACGCCATTGGATCCTCAAACTGTCAGCAAAACCTCATAACTTCACCCCACCTCCATTCAGATTGACGCGCACATGAGACAGATCTCCGCTTGTTTGTAATGCAGGGCTAAATAAATAACTGACGTTTGTATAGTACAGCGTTTTCTTTACTCAAACACTATGTCTTTAAAGGCCAATGCTTTTGTGTGTTTGAAGAGTGGAGAAGTAGGCTATTTTCCATCTAGTTGTAGCCAATATACATTTTGTACGTTTTAAATATCCTGTGCATATCACGCTTCATCATTTATATCA